GGGGGTTTGATTAATTTTTGTTGGAGGTTGTGCTTTGATGTTATAGTTTGAAGGGTGGAGTATGCATTGATCTTGGAGATTGAAGAGTATTGAATCTACTTTTGCTTTAAATGTTGTTGAAAGTTTGAGACTTTGCTGTTGTAGTACGGCGGTGGAGTGTGTAGGGACGGTGTATTGACTTTGTTATGAATGTGTAGTTGTATTGAATCTATGTTTGAATTTATGTATTTGGTGAAGTTTTAGATTGGAGGTGTTTTTACTTGAACTATTGTTGGAAGCTTGAAACTTTGATGTGGGAGATTGAAATGTGGGTATGCATTTTTTTTATTTGGAGAGGTATTGATTTTGTTGTGAATGTGCATTCTAATTTATCTATGTTTGGGTCTATGTATTTGGTAAAATTTTGGATTTTGAGTATGACATTATTTTGATTTTGTTCTTGGATCTTGATACTTTGATGTGTTGATGTGTTCATTGGAGGTCTTTTTGCTTGAACTATTATTGGGGGCCTGAATATTAAAGTTAGATATGCTATTGTTAGTGTTTTTTTTATGAAGGATTGTATTTTTAGTTTGCTAATAATGTTCCTCAAATGCAACTATTTGTGGAGGATTGAAAACATGGTCTTCTGTTGATCGTGATGCTTGAAGATCTGAAAAAAAAAATATGTAACGATGATTACGTATGTTTTTCTTATAGTGAATATATACCTTTCTTATTTATGTTGTCACATTGTACACATTGTCTTAATTTTAAAATTTAATACGATTTTTATTTCACTTCCATTATCATTGATTATATTTTTTAAAATTGCAGGAAGTAAGTAATATTTTATGGTACATAGAAAAGATGGAGTTTTTATTTGCTAGCGATGAAATACTGAAAGCGTTGCTATATTTAGCGACGAAATTGCATAACGCCACAATAAGAAAATAACAAAGAGCTAAAATTAGTATGGAAAAAAAAATTTAGCGACGAAACATTTTCGCCACAAAACAAAACCAGCGACGATTTCTATTACTTCAAGCGACGAAAAAGTAATTTTCGTCACTGTAGAGAAGAAAAGTACTTCGTCGCTGCGGCGACGAAAGACTTTCACTGCAGTGACGAAAAGTCTTTCGTCGCCGCAGCGACGAAACGAATTTCCGTCACTACAGTGACGAAATGGCGTTTCGTCGCTGGAGAAACGAAAAAGCGTGCGTCGCCGCAGCGACGAAACAAAATTTTCATCGTAAAACGTTGCGACACGCGCGTTTTCGTCGCTGACGTCCTGTAACGACATTTATTCAGTGACAAGACGTGCGATATTCTACTTTTCGTCGCTGAACATGTTTGGCGACGAAAATACTACATCAGCGAAGAAATATTTTCGTCGCCGAGTGTCATTTTTTTGTAGTGATTTGGGATTAAAAATGTAAGTTCAAGCATATAATTTAGAGAAAATGTGCATAATTTGTGATTAGGGACTTTGAAATTTAGTTATAGCTAAATGAAGGCTAATTTGTGTAAATATGCTTATTTTGTAAGGAAATATGAAGATTTATGACCACAATGCGTCAGGCACATTGCAAGACCAGAATTTCTAGCTTACTAGAAGAATGAGCCAGCCAAGTTACTTTGAAAGTTTCAACTTCACAATACTTCAGCCACATTCGATGCCTAGATTGTCAAAACGGGAATAACCACTTTTGACCAAGTAATTGGTCCAAGATTTGGTTTTACTCCTAATATCTCTTCAACAAGTGGTTGCCAACTTCCCTTGAATTTCTCAAATCCTTGTTACTTCTGTGGCCTATAAAAGAAGCCCCCAAATTCTTGTCAACTTTTGTTTTTAAGTTTTAATTTCAGCTTTAAGTTTTGCTCTTCCTTTATTGTTTTTACAATTTTTTCTTTGCTTATTTTATTGCAACTCTAGTTATTCTAATTTATGTTCTTTCCCGATTCCATGAAAATGAGTTCTTTTGTTATCTTCTTTTGCTATTGCATTTGTTTTAATTCCATGAGTAGCTAAATTAATTTTTCAACCCTCCTACGAATGGTTTGGTTCCCACCATTTTAATTACATCTATCAGATAGCACGGCGTTTACGCTCAAATTGCTTATCTTGATTTCGTTAATTAATCTACTCGATTTTACTTGCTGGCCACTTGTTTAAATCACAACAGTTGAGTTTAATTCTGAAAAGGTTAGAGTCAACGGAGTTCATCAAGGTAAAACGGGAAGTTACTTAGAAATAAGAACTAAAACAAGATCCTAGACATAGGCTCTCTTACCCGTTAAACGTAAGTTGACACTTGATTTATTTAGGATTCTAGAGTTGCATAGACATATGTAAACACTAGCCTAAGCTTCTAAACAAATCAAAAGTGGTATGGAATAGAAGTTGAACCAGTTTGCATAAATTGAGTTTAATTACAGGCACATTTGGTAGGTGTAATTCATCATTTTAGAACTAAACAGAAGTAGGGGTTGGCCTTTTAAATTCTATAATTTCCGTGTGTTTTTTGTTTTCAACTAATCTCACTAATTTTTCTCACAAACCTGATTGCCCATTCTAACAGTTTTCTAATTCAGTTTCAAAACAAAAACTAGTCCCTGTGGAGACGAACTTGGAATATTTCCAGATTATTACTTGTGACAGTGTGCACTTGCACTTACCCTCTAGCTATTAAGCAGATGCGCAACACTTGCATTACGGACTCCACAATGGAAGCTGAATATGTGGCTGCTTGTGAAGCAGCAAAGGAAGCAGCGTGGCTCAGGAAATTCTTGACTGATCTGGAAGTCGTTCCAGACATACATCTGCCTATCACTCTCTTTTGTGATAACAGTGGAGCAGTTGCAAATTCCAAAGAAACCTAGAAGCCATAAGCGCGCGCAAAGCATATTGAGCATAAATACTATCTCATAAGGGAGACAGTAAATAGGGGAGACGTGTTCGTCACTCAGATAGCCTCGGAAGAGAATCTTGCTGATCCATTTACTAAGGCCCTCTTGGCTAAAGTGTTTGAGGGTCACCTAGAGAGTCTAGGACTACGAGTTTTGTAAACTAGGACAAGTGGGAGAATGAATAATTCGGTGTGTATCTGATGTATGCCTAACCTTCTTGTATTTTCTCACTTAAACTCAATAAAATGAACCATTGGAGTTTTAGTTCAAGTGGGAGTTTGTTGAGTTTTATGTCCTAAAACTCATAGTTTGAAAATGCCAGATATATTTTTATCATTCAATAAAGTTGTTATTGAAGGTTTTAATCAATAAGTAGTTATTGATCCAATAAAATGTTCTTACTAGATCTAAATCCATTAAACTAAGTATCTTAGACTGTTACCTGAGACTCAAACATTATGTAGAGACATAAATATGGATCAAGTTCGAGTTAACAGTCTAAATGGTCTATAGTATTGGAATAAGGTTGGGCGCCTTATTCTGGGGACACTATGGACGCGGCCCACTTTGTAGCTAGTACAAACGATGTGCTCCTAATTCATTCATGTGAAGACATGCGAGTGGGGGCATCTCGTGCAAAGAGTTTGCATAAGACCGAACCATGAGATAATCACTTTTACTTTATAACACCGTGTACTGTTTAAAACTGACTATCTCGACTTTGATTGCCTAGGTAACTCGATCTTAATCCCGAGCTAACTATGAACTTCTGTTTACTCGAGATTATTCTTAGATCTGCATGGGTGAGAGCAGCTCAACAGCGCTGGCTCAATAAGCCTCCCATTTCAGTAGTAAGACCTGGTAGATTGCTACGGATATAGGGTGCAAGAAGAAATTTACTTCTACCCAATTTTGGGATAGTAGAGAGGTTGTTCTCTTAAGGGCTGAATACAAATCGTGAACAATAGGCGCCACCCTCATCAAAAGTTTTGAGATGATTTTTGATATAATAGTTGGACTACAAATCATTGTTCTTTAGAGGATCGGTGAGACTTAAGGAACAAGAGGTAATTACCGGGGTAAAGCGGTATTTTGATCCAGCTGTAATTACGAACAACCTGTGAAGGGTCGACTTACCGATCATGGTTATATCAAATGGACATAATATCTACAGTGAGGAGAATGCAGCTACAGGCTTTAGTTGAGTGACCGCGTAGTTAACGAATGTTGGTTAACTAGGTTAAAGAGTTTAACCGGTTAATCTCGAATCGTTGGAGCTCATGATCTGTAGGTCCATAATGTCACCTGGCTAACTCATATAGGAATAAACTTGGAATAATTTGAAGGAATAATTCGAATCGTACGAATTAGGTCAATCATATGAGATATGATTAAGTAATTGATATATGATATCAATATGAGAAATTTGGTCAAAATATTTAAATATGATTTAAATGTTAAAATTATGAATGCGAATTAATAATTGGAGGCATGGATTTCGTCAAACAGTCGGATTTTGGAAAAAGTCAAATAGTTGACTTAGACCAGAGAAAGTCAAAGGTTGACTAAGAAGATTAAAATAATGTTTTTAACCAAGTTGGTGGAAAATTTCACTAACTTGTTGAGTGGAACATTTAAATAATCTAAAAAATCCACTTTTTGACACGTAGGCATGCATGCATGAGTGTAATGTGTGTTGTAAACTTTTGGTGAACTTAGACATGCATTTTGACACTTAGCCATGCCATGCATGAGTGGAATATGTGTTGTAAGCTTTTGGTGAACTTTGGCATGTAAGAGTTGCATGTAATTTGCCTATTTAAGAAGGCCTTTGTTCAAACATTAAAAGGTCTTGGAACCTTACGTCATTTGATGTTTTTTTCAAAAAGCTTATATAACTTCTTTTAGCGCAACTTTTCTCTAAATTTTTCCTTCTTTAAAAAAAGTCCCACCACTCTATTCCAAGCCTTGAGAATAGCTAGGAAGATCTCTTGGTGGTCCTCATTGGAGCTATTTGAAGAATTTTTAAAAGCTATAAAGGTATGTATTTTTCTCTAAGCATCATAATGTATGATCATGCATGTTTAATCCTAGGTTGTATTATGCATCTAGATTGTTATTTCGATCCTTGCTCGCTTCCGCTGCGCATGTATGTATATTATCCATCAAGGCTATGTTAAATTATATTATTATCTTTTAATTTCGTATTGTTTTTAGATTTCAATAGATTAGGTTTCCTTGTTCTAATAGGTAAGTGTTTTCTTATCCTAATTAGCTTTCTTTTATTTTCTTCTTTGTAGTTCCTATTTATAGTCTTGTATCAATTCTTTGTAAGTAACTTAGATTTATTTTATTTTTCTTATCAATTAACATGGTATCAGAGCCTTGAGGCTTTTTTTTGGTTGGCTTCCATTGCCGAGCGGTTTCTTTTTCATTTTGGGACCAATAGACTATTTTCTTCTTCTTCTTGTCCGTGGGTTTCTTCCTCCATTATCTGGTCAGACCCGTTTTTCTTCTTGTTCGTGGATTTCTTCTACTACCGCTATTCAGACATCACTGCTGTTGTTCAGACGTTGTCATCGCAACTGTTCGTGGTCTAAATCGCTCATATTCAGATGCCGAGTTCGTTGTCCATCTTTTGTAACAGCATCGTCGCACCCATTCGAGGATATCACCTTCGTAATCTTTGCGAGTTGTTCCGTCGTCGGATTTTTGGTTCGTGGTCGTCAAATTCTTGGTGGATTTCTGTTCGTGTGGCTGTTACGGTTTCAAAGTTAAAACTAAATATTATTGGTTTAGTTCAAAGCGTTTCTAGTTTTGCCCGATTCATTTTTTAGTTCAGTTCAGTTTTAATTGGTTTGATTCAAGTTTTTAGCTCAGCTCAGTTCAGTTTTGTCTGGTTCGGTTCAACTCGGTAAAATCCACTTTGGTATGGTTCATCTTGGTTCGGTTCAATACAGCTTGACCCGGTTCAGTTTATTTTCATTACAGATCTTTCGCCCTTTTAATTCATACTTAAAACTTCAGTTTTGTGCGTGGATCTTCATTTCTAAGTTGCTGTTTAGTCTCTTTATTCACATCAATGTCACAATCAACCAAAATTACCACAAAGTTGGACAAATATGATAAAAAATCTAAGGAGTTTTTTAGAGACTTTGAACAATTATCCTAGTCAAGGTACATGTTCGGCAACTTTGACAAGTACAACTTCTCAATCTAAACGATGTACCTAAATGATTGATTCTCGTGCAACTGACCATATGACGAATAGTAGCTATCCTTTTATCTCTTATAGTATTTGCTTGAGCAATAAGAAAATTTCTATAGCAGATGGTACCTTGGTAAAAGTGGCTGGTAAAGGAGATAGGAAGATAAATTCAATCATTACTTTAAAGAATGTGCTTCATATACCACGTTTACTTGTTAATTTGATCTCAGTAAAGAATTTGATCAAAGATTTAGGATGCAGAGTAATTTTTTCTGATTCTTCTTATATTTTATAAGACCAGGACAATGGGAAGACGACCAGACTTGCTAACGAAAAAAATGGACTTTATTATCTTGATGAACTTGTTGGTCAGAATAGTGTTCCAATCTCCTTCACCTCACACATTCATCATCATTGAAGTAAGATTTTGTTGAACTATTATAGACTAGGACATCCTTCATTTCGAACTCTTAAAATTTTGTTTCCCAATTTATTCCAAAATCTTAAACCTGTGTCAATTCAATGTGAAGTTTGTGAATTTTCTAAACACAATCGTGTACCCTCCCATAGAAATAATAAATGGATATCAGCTCATTTCTCTCTTATTCATACTGATGTTTGGGGTCCCTCCAATGTGCCAAATGTTTACAAATTTCGCTGGTTTACTGTGT